AACGCTTTGAGTTCCATGGAAATATTATGCTAATATAATGTAAATTTTAAATGAAATTATTTTGATTGCACTAGTTTTTCTCGCTGCTTTAATTATAATATTCGTTTAAATTATAAACGCTCAATTCGTCATACTCAAAGGATAGAATTTAACTCGTTTCGCTTCATTACCGTTTAATATACAGCGTTTATGATATGTAACCGGCTCGGCTCTGGTACAAATATTTTCTAGTTATTTTATACAGCACTTATAGGCTGCATTTGTCTTTATTCATTGAAGCAATTCTGATTATAAAAATAATCTAACCGGAATAAAAAACAGCCAGCACTAAGACTTTTTTTTTATAAAAAAAGTTCTATAAAAGAAAAAAAACAATCTCCCCGGTGAATTTTACTATAATTTAAATGCACTTAAGCGAACCCTAATGTTATTATTATTTTTTTATTTTTTAGCCTAAGAGAATAATATATATTTTTTGCTACGCGTGACATGTCTTGGAGCAATAAAATTAATTTTTTTCTCAAGGGAGCAGGAGAGTAGGTTTCGAATTAAAAATACGTTTTACGAGTGAGCCTATAATTTATGCGTTAAGAGTTGACGCAAAGCTCACTAATAGAGTAAAACTAAAAAATATGCTTTTTACTCTATAGTCAAACCCGTATAGGAAAATAAGTTGTACAGACCTCATTAATTTCATTGTTATCAATTACCTTTAAAGAAATTAAAAAAAAAAATTAAAAATTGGTCCACAAAAAAAACAGTTTTTAAAAAAACATATCATTATTAAATCAATAAAATTTCAGCGTGAAAGCTAAAACATCACCAATCATGTATTTACCGGAACATATTTTATTTTCATCAGTTTGTTGAATAATTATTGTAATACCTAAATAATTAATTTTATGTTTAAATAAACTTGGCTGTTAATAAACAATACACAATAACCAATTTTTGAGAGGTTTTCGCGGAACCATCCCAGAATATAATATTTAAGTTCGAAAAATATAAATGCTAGTGGTTATCATATCACAAATAGTGTTTAGATGCTCACCCTAAACATTTAGTTGATTTTAACATTGATATTTTTGATCAGTTTAGAAGGAACATTATAAAAATTAAAATATATATATAATTTAGATAACACCTTAACTTTAAATTTTGTATAGTGTAAATAATAATTGTAAAGAACAAATATTTAAAACTGATCTCCTGTAAAATCGCCATTTTGTATATTTTTACTTTTTTTTATCTGACCATCGGTATATGTATGTATGTGTACATAATTTAATGCCTATAAATCATTATAATATTATTTTTAGACTTTACTTTTGCTTATTAGTCGTTGGTAATGGCCGTTATATATATTATATAGTAATATAAAATGCCAAACCGTTCCCTCTCGTAATGTATGTGCAGTGTGTGTACTTCACTAAACTATTCACGGATGACCGAGAAATGCGGTTCGCTGAGCGCTAATTATGGTTTGGGATAATTTGGCACAAATATCAATGTTTTTCGGTTACACCCATTATCGTCGTTTACCCCAATTGAAACCGTCAAGGCAACCGTATCGTTTTGATTGTACGAGAATTAAGCTGTTTTTGAACCGTCCAAATTGTGGATTACATCAGTCTGGGTCGTATCAAAGTCCAAACACTTGCACCAACTTTGTTGAATAGAAACTTAATTTAAAACTATTAAGCTTAACAATAATTCATAATACAAATATACTATTGCACAACCAAAACTACATAGGTACGTTTAGAAATAAAAAGTTGTATTTGTAAAATTTTATGTAATAAAAGGCTGTAACAAAAGTTAACTTTACTTGGCTGGACAAAATTGTTTTATTTACATAGTAGAAGTAATTTATATTTGGGTTTGAACTTTCAGCTAAGTAAACTAAATTATGATTTAATTACTATAATTTTAATATATAATTTTGTTTTCATCCGAAGATGTCTAATGTTTAGATTCACGTATGGTACTCATTTAGTTCCATTTTAAATAATATTTTTTAAGACGGGTGTTAAAACGGTAAAATTAAATATGAAGTAATTAACAGAATTATAATATAGTATAGCATTAGATTTATGATTTTGCCTTAGCTATCTCAAGATATCTCTTATCACGTCATTCAGTTGATTTCGTAAGCGCTAAACATTTCGAGTACAAGCAATCATAAGGTATCTATTTGATTAATATTCACTTATCTAATCTTTACCCTGTACTCTACTCGTAGTTTGTATGTTCGTTTTCCATATTCTTGTTAAACCACAAGTACCGTTAACGCATACTATATTCTGTTATTTGTTTTTACTTGGTAAACTGAAATAACCAAGTGGAGTTTATTGAGTTAACATAACTACGCATACATTTTTCATATTATGATATACCAATGTACTGATAAACTACCTCACGTCTAACCTTATTACATATATGTATATATATAGTAGGGCTCTTTGCTATAAGAATCATACTGAGCCTTACATATTATCATATCGATTGTGCAGTCTAAAACAACACTCGTCCGAATTGTATAATATTCGCTTTAGATGAAACGAACGTGATCTCGTCGGCAGGAAATCTTCCAAGTGTCCATCAAACCCGATTTCGGGGAAGGGCAAGCGGATGCCCAGATTTACTTTCCTCCGCACGCACAATGTATTTATAAACCTCACAATAGGTATGTGGCATAATATTATAATATACTGTGTTTTTGTTGAGCAGTAGCGACTACCGCACAGACGGGCAAAAGCCATCCAATGATGGCATGAATTATATACAAAGTAAGTATTACCATGTTAAAAACGAGTAAAACGTCGTAAAAAAGGAGCCGAAATTAATATTTTCACTAAGAAAATTAAATACAAATTTACATACATTTAAATAAATACGTTTATATATCAATTTATACATATAAAAAAAAATATATATAGATTGATCCAATTAGATAATTCGGCCAAAAAATAGTTAGAAGCGATTACAATTTTTTTCAACGGCTAGTGTAATTTTGTTCTACTGCAAGTGACAACGCATTACACAAAAAGGTGCAAATATGTGCAAAACTTTTTATTTTTATTTCTTAAAAGAGATAAAGATATTTTGTTTTATTTGTTATTTATATTATCGATAATATTTTATAATGATTATTGTGGTCGGGACAGACTCGAAACCATGTTAAAACTCTATGATATAAAATATGGAACTGTTTTGTTTTATATTTTGGAAAACGGTTTTTGATCGAAGCGAAAAATTTTACTATTGAATGAAAAAAAAAGTTTGTAGTTTTATCGACAGTTTGATTGCCTGTAAAACATAAACCGCATAGTTTACTTGCGGTAAAATTACCAAACCGCAACAATGTATAGTCTAAATAATTTGTACAATGTTTTTATTTATTTGTTAGTGGAAACCGTAATAAAAGTGCATTTCTTAGAACAATCTTTCTTGAAAATAAAGTTATTACATTTTTTATCACTTTTAAAAAAAGTGGTTTGCTGCTCGAATATTAATATATGTATATATATGTGCTACAGTGTATTGCGTTTGAACTTTAATACACAATAAGAATACTTTATGAGAATAAGTCGATGTTCCAGTTTTGCAAAACTACAATACTACGAAATTAACAAAACAAATTACTACCCTTAAAATTATTCAGTTTAATTTTCCTTTTAATTTACACTTATTCTCTAGAAAACCTATGTAAATATTTTAAGTAATAATTATTTTTAATTTTTGTTTCCACCAATTTCGAGATATTGCAATTTTGGACAGGGGCGACGATATAATATTGCATTGAACTTTGTAGTAATTAATTCAATATATAATTATTTTTAACGTCGAAAGAAACAGCTAAGCTAAACATATGAGATGTTTAACGTTTCGATAATTTTTGTATCACTTATACATTTCACATAATTTTTCTCGTTAACATTTCAATGTATAACTCATAAATGTTTACATTAATAAGACATAGTGTTGAATTTTATATGTAAGCCGCATGACTGTTTATTCTTTTGGAATGGCTAGTATGTCATTTTACTCTTAACGTTTTGTAACGAAGACGTTTAAAAGCTTTTCGATTATCTGTTTACATTATTTTTGAACGCCCATACGCTATTCACGAAGAATTAATACAGACCATAATGATGAAACGACTCTAATTGTGCATTATTATCCGAGTAATCTTATTAGACTATAAATTAGTGCCCAAATAAAATAAGTATAAACAATAAACAACAGTAATATAGATATTATAAACACTAGTTTAGACTACATTTCAATCGACCGCAAAGTAGAAAATAAATAGTACAAAAATAATTGATTAAATACAATACCGAGCGATAAAAAATGTCTATATTTCGACATTTTTAATTGTTTAATGTTTATTCCGTTTTTTTATTCGCGTGAGACATAGGCTTTGGAATTTGTTTAGAAAAAACTTTATTTAGATATGTATTTGTTCTCTCAAATTAATATTAATAAGACTTCAATGGGTCGATTAATGGTTATTGCATAAATTCGAGTTTCCGTAGGCTCACCCTTATAAACCTCTCACCCAAAATAAACGATTAGTCGAATGGCTTTATGCAGAAAGCAGCCATCCCACAAATCTGTGTTTGAGAATAGTTTGAAGTTTTAAAAAAAAAAAGTTTTACCTATCACTGGTCAAGTGGGGTATACCGTATATATTCATACTTAAATCTTAGTCACATTGTGTGATTCAGGTAAGAAATGTACACCGGTCACAGTTTATTTGAGTGTGAATAAAAATCGCACGACATGTGTTAAAATTCATATCATTCTGTATAATTTTGCATAAAGTCATTTTGTGTCTCAAGTAGTATCGAAATCTCATTTTTTTTTCGTGCGATGGATGCTTTCCGCAAAACGTCATTCGGGTATTTATCATCATATGCGGCTTTAGATATATAGTCATTACCGGATGTCAATAGATGTTTGGAATTGTATAAACGTGAACGTTTTTGGCTTACCGATAGTGGTGATGACGGACAGAGAGTAGAGGAAGGAACCGGAAAACGACCATCGGTTCATTTCCTTGTTGGCGCCCTCGTAGCTGAAATTCCTGACCGCTTCTATGATGTGGCTCTGGAACGACCGGAGGTGAGTCTGCACTTTGTCGCGCCAATCGTCCTCGTAGTACTCGGTGCAGCAGGTCAGGTTCCACAGCCGGTCCACGGTGCCCGTCCGATTGGCGATGACCCGGTCGATGATGTGCTTGGCGTTGCCCGGCGCCCCCTCGATGAATATGAACATGAACGCGCCGGCGATGGTGTAGCCCACCACCAGGCATATGATGCCGATGTTGCTGAACAAGAACGCAATGAACTGCCGCAGGTAGTCCTTGCACTGTTGCGTCCACGTCTTCTTGCGCCTGTTGTAGTACCGCCGGCCGCTGCGTTTCCGTTCCATCGGTGCCGCCGGTGGTACTCGCCGTCGTCGTCGTTGCCGCCGTCAAAGACCCGATCATACGCAAGCGTGTTCACCGCTTGCGGCCGGTGATCGCTTGATCCATGTGTCGGCCCTCGTCTCTGTCGATTCCGTCAACAGCGATCATGGTACACGATCGACAAAAACAAACGAACAAACGCGAGCACGCCGATATGTTAATCTAAAATTATAACGGCACGTCGTCGTCCCGGTCCCTTCGAAACTCGCGACTGTTGGCTGCCGGACTGGCGAGTTGGCCCGAGCCGTCGAGGCCGTCGTGTGTTTTTGTGTGTGTGTACATATATATTTATAGACTTGGAAACGCGTCTACTCACTGCTCACTGGACACCGATCTACCGGCAGTCCGCTCCTTCCACGCCGCTGCTTCTCGAATTAGCATCTTGACACCGGTGGCAGGGATGGACCGCCGCGCCGGTGTGCATACAGAGTGTTCCGCGGGTAGACAGAAAACGCACAAAAATAATCTTCAAACCCAGCCAAAATGTCAAATTCAATCCAAAATGTACATAACACTACTACATAACAATGTGTATAATGTGTAATTACTATGAATAAAATGATATTACCACTGATAAATACAAAGTGATTCACTAAACTACGAACCAGTCAATATCTCATATAAGGTGCACGACTTTTACTTTCTTATGATTTTCTAGTTAATAGTACGGCCAATTCAAATTGTATTTTTCAAGAATATAACCCTATCCCTTATGAACTTAAGATTTTTAAATCGTAACGTATATTATGTTTTATTGACTTTGTAAATTGAGAATAATTTGCTGAAAATGTTGAATGGTCGATAACCAGTTTTGAATATTTACTTTTAAAGTTAACAATTCAACGAGAAGAAGATAGTGTAGTGTTATTTTTATTTGGCGCACTACTCGACCGCACTCTAATTCCCATTATTAGTTTAGAACTTAAATACCTTAAAAGTAACTATCTAAAACTGGTTATTGACTAGATAAAATTACCGTTTAAAATCTTAATTTCATAGGATTTCAATCAATAAGGGATGGGGTCGAATAGTATATCCAATTTGGGCTACCTTACAACTGTGAAAGTATGGAAAAACAATTGAAAATAGTATAATGCATGTTAAGATATTGTTCATAGTTAGTGAAGCACCCTGTACAGCCATATAATATTGTTACTAAGGATAACAATGGTCAGAACCACCGCCCTTACAAACATATAATATAAAAATATCTTTATTGATATAAGTAAAATATAACAATATGTAATGATTCAAATGGTTAAATTGAAAAATGAACGTGAAATCGTTATTGTGTTTGTTATTATAATATAATAAAAATGACTGGATTGAAAAATGTTATTTTTGAATTTAGCTTTTGTTGGTACTTAAAAAATATTGAGTATTAAGTATTATTTTAATCAAGACGATCGTTTGGTACAAACAAGGAAAAACAGTTTCCTTGAAGTGGGGGAGAAATTGTCCCGGAAAAAATACATTGAAAAATTTAATACATGTTTATAATGAATTTAGTATTATGGTTTATTATGACGTTTTGTTATTGCAGTTCACATAAACCTACAATGAAAGTAAATAAAAAATGAAATATTGAAACAACGAATTTTTTTTCGCAATTCGTTGTGCGCAATACAGGTACAATTTTCTCTATAAAAAAAAACTGATTCCTGTATATGTTTATAATCCGTGAGTAGGTTAATAAATAATCAGTAAAAAGTACAGTAAAGTTGGTTCGCTGTACACTTTTACAAGTATTTTTTTTTTATACAAACGTTTTCCCGTACATTTTTAATGGCTTTGACGTTGTAAGCTAAGTACTTTAAGAAAAAATCGCACACTTTAATATTTAAATTTGGATCAAACTGTACACTAAGACGGAGACGCGCAGTTTATAGGAAATCTTATTTTTCAATCTTGCGAAATTTATTTCCTTACCGTCTGTAACCTTACCTGACCTTTAGTTTAAGCCTTATAGATTCAACATTACTTAATGCTTTTGTCATACTATCCGGAGTTTTTAAAAAATTTAACAGTAAAGAAGTTGTCAGACTAAATTATCATTTCATGTTAAAAAAAAATGTTAAATGTCAGTTATGAATCAAATTAGTTCTTAATGAATTTTTAAAATGAAAATAATTATAATTAAATTGTAAATAGATCTACGAGAGTTCAGAGTTGGTTTAATTTAAATTGTAATCTACGTTGGAAATGCGATTGTGTTTTGTTTTCTTATTAGAATATAATATAATTACAGAATAAAGTGACTGTAATGAAATGTATTAAACTCAGATCTAAGCTATTGTTATACATCAGAATTGTACCGTACTTGATTTTATATGCAACAATACACAATGCATATAAATAATATAATTCAACAAATCCGCCTTTATTGTTCTTATTTACATAGAATTGTCCCTATTCTTAAACTACGGCTATAGTTTTCGATATTTTCTATATCGTTGTTTACTATAACGGCATAAGAATTTATTTTTTATTAAATATCTTGTGATCGGGTGGGATAACCGAAAGCAAGTATGACAAATTCAATTTTTACATACAATTAACACCCTTCTCTTTCCTGTTTTAGAAAGGGGGAGCCCCTCTAAAAAAATTGTATTTATCAAATGTTGTAATGTTTTATATGTCTTAATGAATTTTAGCTTCGGTGCGATAACAAGAAGCTATTGGTTTTTTTTTAAAGTTGGTTATAACTGTTTTTACCTAAAAGTGTCTTTATAATTAAATTTATTTACCAAAAACTAAGAGAAAATAATAAAAATAAAGTATAGTAACATAAACCATTGGTTTCCACATAAGTGTTATGTTGACATAAATCGAATTAAGAACACAAAGATAAGTGTTATTAATGTGTGTTTTGTAACATTTGTCTATTTAATCCAAACGACTTAATATGTTGACCGAATTTAAGATTGTTTAATCGGCCATCCTAAATTTAAATATGATAATTTTTTAACAATGTCAGCTGTGTAGGAGTATTATAAATTTAGAGAGCTTTTTAAATCAAGAATTGCTCGCTAAAAAAAAATTCACTTTGAATAATTTCTTTTGAGTTATTAGCATTTAAATTAGTGAGTAGGAAGAAAATAGAGCAGAAGATGGTAGAGAAGCACGCTTAGATAATTATAATATATAATGTTATATTAATAATTCACTCTCTTTCTCTCTCTCTTTATCTTTTACTCTGTTGTTAGTTGTTACATATTATATTTCCAAGAAAATTTATTTTTTATTTCAAAAGATGGTTAATGCTTCATTATGAATTTTAAAATTTTTACGTACAACTAAATATTTTATAAATAAATAATAAATTACAAGAATTTCCTCGAAAAATAAAACTGTACAATTTTTATTATTCACGAAGTAGAGTTTGTAGAGTTAAGTTTATAGCAAATTTTAATAGACGTTATTCAAACAATTTATTAGCGCTTTTTTTTGCACTCCGTATTATGTAATTGTCTTGTGTAAAAAGAAAACAGGTAAAATTGGCTAAATGTTCGGTTTTAAATCGCTAACAAAAAAAAACTTATTTTATTTAACATAATACAATAAAAACAACATACCTAACCCATATTTTTATTTCCGACAAAAAGAAGAAGAGACGAGAATTGATGTCCCGCCTCATTTGTACAGTATTCAGTGCCAACTGTCAAGACAATAATATAAGTTGACAAAAGTTATTCAGATGTTTGCCAATTTGTATTATTTATGTGGACAGTGTAATAAGCAATAAGTTTCCATTAAAACTAAGGTGAAAAAAGTAATAACACCTAGTCTATTTATTTTAGGATTAACGTTGTGCACAAGTTTTCAATTAAAATGGTGCTATAATTAACACAATACAGGTTACTTATTTCTTAACACCTCTTAATTAAAATTCAATCAAAGGTACTTATTACACTTATAGAGGAATTACGGCACTCGGATCAAGTAAATAACAAAATTGTAGGAAAATAATGAACCAATGGTATTGGGTGGGTGGGTCACCCTCATTCGAGCGAAGGACCGCAGCAAGTCTAGCTGACAAAGTAAAATATTATAATATCAACAATTTTCTTTCCACGTCATTCGATTATATTAAAGCGTTTCAAAGTGTATTACGTCGCTGGAACTCAAATCCCGTTAAAATATTTTCCGGTCCATAGTTTTTTTTTTTTTTTTATGTACAAGAATAAATCGTTTTCGTGATATTTTTCCTGTGAAATGAACTTTTGTCGACATGGTGAAATTTATTCTGAATTTAATTTCTAACGTTTATTGGCATTTCGGAAATATTATTTTCTACGTTTTCCATTAAACGTTTCCGGTCCATTAGGTATTAGTATGCGTTTTTTTTTATACAATATGACAGCGCAAGAAACTTATGTTTTATTTTACAAGTATAATAATATTAGCGACTAAGTAGTAACGGTATTGAATTAGTTTTTGTCGCATATTGCCATCAGTGAAAATTCCATCTAGTTTTCACTTCAATACGCGCACCATGATATCAATAAAGTATTAGAGTTTGCACAAATTAAATGGGATTGTTCTGCTTCATACTTCAATGACCGGCCAATAACAATAATGTTCATTTCTATTTTAAACAACTCGAAAACAATTTTCTACGGAAATATGATGTGCATTTTTTTTGTGGGGCAAGATTACCTCCTTAAAATAATGTCTATAACACCATAGTGGCACACACCCTTAGTGCCAGACGCCAACGACTACGGTACAAGTGCGCGGTTATAAATTAAGTCGTTCGGATGCTGTAAAGATTTATAATAATAATATTATCTATGCAAATTATATAACGGTTTGTTAACACTCTACGAGTGAAATAATTTGATTTATGGCAGTAAATCGTCGTTATATTTTCGGTAACGCCCTTTTAAACGATAGCGATTTAATTTTAATGTTTAGCTGGCACGAACATTCGAGTGCAAACAAAAGAGAGAAGTTTTTTAAATAACGTTGCTTGCACTTGTTAGGCAATAACTTACCAAAAATGTGTACCGTCGTGTTTTCTTTTTGTTACCTGTTCGAAACTACTTTAAAAATTGTAAAGCACAATATATAAATGTGCTTTAAGAATATTATTCTTGTATCGAAATTTTGTAGTATACATTATTTTGATTCGGAATGCACCGTGGGATATCAGTTTAAATTAAAAATACTAATAATAATCAACGATTCATCCAAAAGAACGGTTTGTAACTTAAAACTAAGTATCAATTATAATTAAAA